GAGAATAAATCTGGTGTTCTGAGAACAAAGTTGCAAATGACATTTTTTCTGTTCTGTTTTTAATTTCTTTCCTTGATAGTGCACATATTTTTGTATTTCAGTAAGCATGTACCAACTAGCACAACAAATAGTTTTAAGTAGTTCAAGAGATGCGAAGAGTAATCAAGTTCAGTTAAGAGTTCTCATTCAAAAGAAAAAATTGCTGCATCACTCGATACCAAAGCTTCCAGCTTAAGTGTGACAATATAAATTAGAGTTGAGAGTGATTCAGAAGTCCCAAAGCATAACTAGATGAAATGAAGAGTGATTCAAGCAATCTAAAAAGTAATTAGGACTGATTGAGAGTTTTGCAGGAGCAGGGTATCGCAACAAAATGTTTATCGTTTCGGATTTAGTTTCGTTCCATCACAAAAGTTCTGTTCCATTTCTCTTCCGGAAACAAACAAAAAAAAGTTTCCATAAGGGTACTTTATTTATTTATTTATTTACATTTCCCCTACATCGCCGTAAGGCATTACGTAGGGGAGGTACACATAATAATTTGACTACATAGTTTCAATCGAAACAATAAATACAACAAATACAACAGCACTAAAGATATTTTAAAAGAAGAAAAAAAAAACGCTCGAATATTGGTGAGCGAAATCAACGTCGCAATCGTGCATTTGTAAACACGCACACGCTTCGAGACAACAAACCATTCTTAGTCGCAGTGATATTGTAGGCATTGTTACAAGGAAGAAAAAAAAAGATTCATTATCAGTTTCATTGACGAGATCATCCGGTGGACGGTTCCATTCCTGTATTGTTTTTACGAAAAAAGAACTACCGAAAGAGTGGGTTTTGTAGCGGTATTCTAATATTTTTCGTGAATGGTCTTGACGATTAGAGACATACGTTGGTGTGAACAGATAATCGAGAGGGTTAATAGCATTTCCATTATAATATATACAATCAAGAAATTTAAGCCTCAGTGTCTCCCATTTCAATGCTCGTTTCATTTCTGTGATGCTTGCAAAGGAATTATAGTTGTTGCTAACAATTCTGGCTGCTTGGTTTTGAACTTTTTCCAGTGCGTTAATCAAGTATTGCTGATGGCGATCCAAGATTACGGAAGCATAATCTAGAATAGGTCTTTCATACATGAGATAAAGGGTTTGTTTCACGGTCTATGAAGCTTGCCTAAAATTTCTGCGTATGAAGTATAGCATCCGACCTGCCTTGGCCACAGTTATGTCAATGTGTTTATTCCACTTGAAATTGTCGCAAAAATAGATGCCCAGATACTTATAAGAGGATTCATTGCTGATTATTGAATTATTTATTTTGTATGTTGTGTCTTGTTTACTAATCCGGTTGGTAATTGATACACAGCAACATTTACGGACGTTTAGACTCGTTTTTCATTTTTGGCACCACGTTGAAATTCGGTACAGATCATGCTGCAAAATTTCAGCATCCCTGTGCGATTTAATCACTCTAAACACTACACAATCATCTGCGAATAACTTAATGGGAGAGGTGATACCATCAACTATGCTATTAATATAAATCAGGGGTTTACTTAACAGTTTTTATTTATTTGCAGGATTTCAAGGTAAAGTAATGACAGCGCTCCTTTTTAAAAAGTGGGATAGCGATAAAACCCGTGCTTCAAAGGAGCTGAAGTAACTGCGCCACGAATTCATATCAAGTAGTGCAAACCAGTGTTCTTCAAAGTCATAGTATTTGTTTCTTCAAAAGTTCAGAAGCAGCAGATCATCGATTGTTTATCCGATGAGCGAGACTACTGTTCTGATAAAAACAAGCCAGAGCCGAGAATGAGCGTGACAGGCACACGGAGGTCCATTTGTGTTGATATAAACATCTCTGGTCACCACTGTTTACATTTTCACACAATTTCAACACGTTTACTTAGGAATTCCTACCTGAAAAACATGCTATTACTGTATTTCGAGGTGTGCATTATCGTTCATGTTGCATGACCTCAATACTTCCGGATACCAGAAGTTTTTTTCGTGAACCCAAAACGATTGAGAGAATTTCGGTTTCGCTCCGAAACAAGATAGTAGGTATGGTTTCGGTTACATATTTGTTTCGGTGAAAATTTTTTTTGTTTCTCGTTTTCGGTTTTCGTTCCGTTCTGACACACTGCGCAACAGTTTCAAGTAGTCGTTAGGCTCAGTTAGAGTAATAATAAGAGCTGTGATGCACACAAAGGCTTTGATGCCTTTTGTGTGCCTTAGTATCACTTGCAACTACTATACTGCTGCTTATGAATATTCATTGTCATGTGCAACTATGACATTTCACCATGATTGTTCTCAGCTTGCACAATTGTGTTTTCTTACGTTCAGTGAATTAAAAATAGGTGCATGCAATATATCGTTATTCTTAAGAAAGGGAATGAACAACCACCCGTTTGTAGTGTGAACTTCCACAAGGAAATACCTACGGATTTCTCAGAAGAAAAGCCGTTTAGTTGTCAAAAAATTTGCCCTGGTCAGGTGTTGGAACACGGGACCAACACCTTCCCTGGGTGTGGCTTTACTAATGGAGCTAAAGAAGAAGCTAGTGATTGAAAGCACGAGGTGAATTCATTGATAACTCGAAGCACATGGACACAAGCATGCAAATGAGTTTTTCGGAAACCGGCAGTGTGGTGGAAAGGGTTAAGAAAGGGAAGAAAGTTGTTGATGAATTCGCTCTCTAGCGGTCGATTGCTAGCGTCCTGGTTAGCTCAATTGGCAGAGCGACCATCCCAGAAAAGGGTTGGTCTTGGGTTTAAACCCCGAACCGGGACGAACTTTTTGGGAACTAGGAGGCTCATCTTTCTGAGAAATACGCACGGGTTTTCTTGTGGCTTCGTGCCACAAATGGGTGGTTGTCTTCTTTTCCTTCGTTAAGTTGGTCTTACGTATAAACTTTCCTTCAAAAGTCCTTAAAAGGTGTAGGGGGAGTGTTCTCCCCAATTAGACATCTTATATACCGGGACACGTGGTACTCCAGGTCAGGCTGAAACATGATAGCATTTTATTGCGTACCTCACCCACAGAGTTGCTGAATAGCACTCGCATATTGTCCTAGAAGTATCTTAAGCCCCCAAGAGCATAAATCTCGTATATTATGTATTGACAAAATACGAGGTAAGAAAGGTGGAGGGGGCCATACTTGGGGCGCCTTTTTTTTTTGTCGATGTTGGCCTTATTCATAGATAAAAAGTTATCCTCATCATGAACCAACATGTGCTCTCTTCAATCACTTCTTCCCCTTCTGCTTTGCTACCGGAACACGCGTGCCTATTTGTCTGGCGTGGGATGCATTAACTCGCATCGGTGAGAGAATGAGCACAGAGAGATAGAGAAAGAGGTAGAATTCTTGGCCAAAAAAAAATTCTTTGCAAGGCGAGACTCGAACCCGTGTACCCATAATCTGGCGCCGAGCGTCGTAAAAACCAGGCTTTCAAAGTATGCTAGCGGAACATAGCATAGCCTTGTCATTTAGCCAAGAAGTGGGAAGGGAATTGAGGGTGAGGACAAACCTGAAGGTGACACTGCAAAAGGGGAGGGAGGAGCGAGAAAGTAAAGCATAGCACACAAAGAGAAATAAGGAAAGAGAAAGTGCAAGGAAGAAAAGAGTAGAAATACACAGATACAGCAAAGGAAAAAAGATCGAGCATAATCATGCAATGTATAGCGCATAGCGAGGGGTGGGAAAGAGAGAGGTGAGAGTATAAAAGACTAGCCAAGGGAGGACCTGCTAGGCGCTGACCAGCTCTGCCGGGAACCAGCCTTGAGCGACTTACTGCGCCAACTTTCTTTTTCATCATAAGAACAGTGCAAGAAGCGAGAGACAACCACACGTGAGTGAAAGGGCAACAGCCTTTCTTTTTATACCCGAGTAATCGTCATGAGGATTTAGTTGTCTTTTTTTTCTCGAAAACTGTACGCTTGCTTCTTCCTTATATACTAATGCCATATTAAACCAAGAGCATGTGCACTGTTCATGACGTGTGTAACTATGCTACTTACGGCAATGCTTGAAAGGCTTAAGAGATAGGCGATATTTTTGTGTAGTAGAAATATGCCCCTCGTTGAGTGTAAGACTGTGGGTGTGTGAGGGTTCAGGGTGCTTATTTGGGGACAAAGGGGCAAGATAAGCCCGCTAAAGTATAGGCTGTTATTAAGAATGCATTCCTTATGGAAAATTTGCCTAAAGAGAAAATAAGGACAGAAGATTCGGAACAATAAAAAGTTTATTTGGGTACAGATAGGCCCATCAGAGTGCAAACATTTATTAATGCACAGTTGCCTGATCGCTTTTGCGCTCAGAGTGAAATTACAATAAGGAGCCCTCTCTTGTTTTAAGCCTAAGGAATTGTGTCCAGACCGAAGGTGAAGCCGCTCGCTGCACCACTTGCGAAACACGACAGTTCGTCTTCTAGGGCAAATAAACGTAGTACGCAGGCGCCAAAGCACTGGGATGCACGCTTCGATGGCTGATGTCGTGCCATAATGAGACTCACAAGAATCACGTGACAGTGATCACATGTTGCGCGTGCTCTGTCGTCAGATGTGAGTATCTCTAAGTGCTCTCGCAGAACTAGCTGACCATATTCCAAGCAATACAGTCCTGTACACTTTCGTGCCAGTTTTGCCTCACCTTCAGCCGGCTTTGGTCGTTCCGTTCATGTCGGACAAACAGTGTCGGAATCAACTGAACAAGGAAATGTGGAGAAGTGCCATTGAATGATTTAGCGCTGTTTGTTCGAGCAATTCCTGTCAACGAGTACAAAGCTTTATTGCGGCATTATTCCGACTTGAAATGAACATTTTCCGCCTTTAGGTGGCGCCGTCAGTTCCTAGCGCACGACGAAATCCTTCGACGAAATCACTTCGCTCCTCTCTCGTGCGTTCTCCGAAGGTGACGGTTGAGCGAGCATCGCTGCTAGAACACCTGCGGACACAGGTGGCACTCGAAGGGCTTCGCTCCGGAGTGCGTCAGATTGTGGGCCATGAGGTCCCTTTGAGAGAGAAGTGGCGGCCGCCACACGGTGCACGAGAACGGCCTGCTGAACCGTGTTGCGTCACCAGGTGGCGTCGCACGGCTCGAGCGGCTGCTGAAGATTCGCTCGCACACTCCGCACTACCCGGGAGACTTATGCCCGCCGCCTGCGCTTGGGTTTTGGCGGTGGCGTCACGGGCCTGCCGGTGGCTGCCCTATAATAGGATAGTACAGGGGTATTACATTACAAATTAAGGATTAAAAGGTGGCTCAAGAGATTGTTTATTCGAGTAATTTATCCAGCCAGACTGATTCTCTGCCAAATATTTACCCTTAAGGATGTAAAGGGTATGCAGCACGCTGTTCTTCTACGCTCCGGAGCAGCAGTACACGTATGCTAGCTTGACAACTTAGCACACGCTTCATTTGAATTGTAGTGCTAAATGGCAATTGTAGTGCAATATTGTGGCGTTGCTACTGCATATAATTTGAAAAAAAAAAAACCTGGCCGTATGCTTCGAGACCTGTTAGGCTCTTCGGCTACTAAGCTACTTTTTAGTCGTCACCCCTCTCTATCGTTGTTACCTTTCCTGTTAAGGAAAACAATGCATTAACAAGAACAGTCACCCCTGAATTAGAGACCGAATGAGTCTTGAAACATAGCGCCAGTTTTAAGATAAATAATTGAGACTAACTTGGCTAAAATCTGTTGTTATACTATAGAAATACTCCCCGCGGGGCAATGTGGTCGCCCTCAACTTTATAAGAGGTATTCACCAAGCTCTTCCCGCCAGATGGCGCCAGCGAGGGCGCCGCCAATAGCCGTGGTCCGTCAGCGATCTAGCACATGACAGCGTTACTTTTCTCGTCGCTGCACCTCACTAACCCGTTTTCCTTAGAAAAAATGTAACGTTGCACGTGCCGTGGAGAACTTTGGTTTGAGACCGTCGAAATGTTCGCCCGCGAGACCACACGTACCGCAGCTGCCGCGCTAGCGCCCCCTGCAGATGACGTCGACAGCGACCGTCAAGAATGTGCCTGGAGTGGCGGTACTGTTTCTATCGCAATGAAATAAACAAAAACAAATGTTCACCCTGTGTCGCTTTCCGCGCCGCCCGCATCTTCGGAATCGCTGACGTCGTTTTTCTCGGCATCCACATTGCTGCTGCTGGACGCCGTGGTAGACGCCGCGGTTGAAGCCTTCGCTTTGCGGGCCATATGTTTTGCACAGGTAAATAAAGGGGATGTGGGCGACCGTGCTGAAGGAACGCCAATGAAAAATATGTGGCTTCAGCCTGCGAAACGAGAAGCAAAAGACGATGTCAAGATGAGCTACGGGCTGTCCAGAAGGTCCACGGTGTCGCCATAAGGCTTGGCCTGAAGGTATACTGACGTGGACGTGGTCCACTTGGGTCTAAAAAGACCGGGCTTCAGGACACTAATGAGGTTTTGTAAATGAATGGATGAACACTTGCTGTTGTTCGACACGCTGTTTTAAGAGGCCCACAGATTTATTTCCTCCACCTGGGATAACAGTCTTGACCTCCTTTATCGCCGCCGAGTGTGGCTTAGCGGCCAACCTGTCGCGCTGCTCAGATCGAAGACACGGTAGGGATATTTCAATGAAGCTGGGTGAAATACCCCCCCCCCCCCCCCCCTAAAAGAATGAAAAGTGTATTTAGATTCAGGTGCATGTTAAAGAATTCTGGTTGCTTACTATTGAACCGGAGTTTCCCGCTACGGCGCAACTCTTTATAACACGGTTTTCACCGAAAAAAAAAAAAAATCCGCCGCTCTTCATAACGCGAACCCTCGACTTCAGTTAGCTGAGCAGCCAGAAGCGCAGCTTTCAAGCTGACGCTGTCATGTCTGCAAAAGTTCAGCGAGACCGGATATTTCACTCACAGCCTCATGCTATTCGATATATATATATATATATATATATATATATATATATATATATATATATATATATATATAATATGCGGGCACACGCAATTACGGCGTGACTAAATGCAGGTAGCTCACTGTGCCTGGAGTTAGACTACTTTTTGTGTTCTCAAATATTGTTTAATTAGATATGTTTAAATAACTAAGTTCTGAAAGAACGAAGATGGATAAAAGTTTCAATGAGAAAGTTGTAGATCGGTTTGTAAAGCGTCCGATTAGACAGTTTGGACTTTATATCTGCCAGGTATTAGCGTTTTTCCTGCTAATTACAAATGCCGCGAAATACAAAAAATACCACGTAGCAAACCCGCTCGTGCGCCAGTGCACACAGTGATTCTAGTTGCTCCCTAACGTTCCGCGTACGAACGGCCATAGCATTTGCCACATCGTGCTTTCTCAGCAGGGCCGCAACGATGATGGTGGCTTTACGATGAACACGTTTTGCTATCGGCCACAAAAACGGTAACCGCTGTGACTGCTCATCGCTGCCATGAACCGGTGCGAGGGAAGCGTGTCGTTCGTACGCGGAACGTTAGGGAGCGCTAGAATCATCGTGTGCAGTGACGTGCGAGCGGATTTGTCACCTGGTATTTTTTTTTGGATTTCGCGGGCATTTGCAATTAGGAGAAAACCACTAATACGTAACAGTATAAAGTTCAAAACTGTCTATCGGACGTTCTGCAAACCGATCTACAACTTCCTCATTAATTTTTTTTATCCTTCTTCGTTCCCTCAGTTGTTAATTAAACAGATCTAGTTAAACAATATTTGAGAACACAAAAAAATAGTCTAACTCCAGGCAACGGTGAGCAACATGCATTTGGTTGCGTCGTAATTGCGTGTTTCGGCATATTTTAGGGGCGAAGCTCCTTATAGCGGCACCGATTCGTCCCTCGTAGTCGTAAGTAGTAGTATGTAACAAGTGTTACATTTGACTTCCAAGGTGGTGCTGGTGGGAGATTTCTTCTGTGCGCGTTGTTGAACAATGAAAAAAAAACGCAGCGTGCGCGTTAACTAAAAGGCCGAATGCTCCTGTCTCTCATTTCCCATTAGCAGCCATTGGCATGTACATTGAGCGCTATCTGACAGGAAAAGGTTGCTACGTTATAACTCGCTGGGCGTAACCTCCTTGGGTTTAGAAAGGTTAGCGAGCGTTGGGCCGCAGTGCCATGAATACAGTGAACTAGTATATACCATGGAACTCGAGGTGGTTAAAGGTGGGAAGTAGACCTGAAGCGCAAGCCGTAAGAAAGTGTGCGTGTGCCCCCTCTCGTTTAGTCTTTGGAATGTCCACTGAATGGCGGTGCTTCTATATGGGGAATATATGATAAAAAGATGCGTGATGGTGGGACTTGGAGTGTTGAATAGATAGACGAACGAACACACAGACAGATGCATGGATGGATGCATGAACGGACGCAGGGGCGGATGCATGGGCGAACGCAGGGACGGACGCACGCACGGACGGGCGGATGGATCGTTATGATGGAAGCGTTTTGATCGCCATTTTTCACCTACAATATATGCTAATGAATTACAGCTAAAAAGTTTGGCTCTTCGACGCACTTGTGACCGTTTTGTCCTGTTGCATGAGATCGCTCATGGGGAAACATTTATTGATGCACCCATTACCTTCACTAACCCTTCTTCTCGAATCACAAGGCGAAGTCACCACCTTAACATAGCTCCTTTGAAGTCATCCATTGATTCGTTCAAGTTTCTTTTTTTTCCTCACACTATTGATACTTGGAATGGTCTCTCGGGCTCCCTGCGCGAGCTGTCAAACAATGAATTCGTTGAACAATTGCCAAACTTTCTTCACTGATCAGTTGTGTATACTTTCCTGATGTTCTGCCCATTCAGTGTGTATACTTCAGTGTGTATACTGAATGTGTATACTTTTTGTGTTATATTTAATGCGACTAAATGTGATTTAGTGTGACTTATTGCATTGTATTTTATCTTGTGTTGTACTCGCTCGTGCAATATCTTGCTGTGCAATATCTTGCTGTGCAAGATGCAGTACCTGTAAATAATAATAATAATGGATGCATGGACGGTCACACAGACGGACGCATGCACGGACGGAAGCAAGAACGAATGGACGGACGAAGTCTTCGCCCCACTCTCCGCCATTCACTCCGTGGATATGCTGCCAATTTTTTTAAACTCTGGCCAAAGTTACCCGGGACACACTGTGTGGATATATATAGATATATACAAACCTCAAAAAGGGTGTATCTCCTATTTTTTTTTTTGAACATTTCAAGTAAACACTCCGCCTTCAGTTCAGAATGTCACCATGCACGCTAATCGCAAAACGCGGCAGGGCCACGAACCGTGGGTGCACCGCAAAATTAAAAAAAAAAAAATTTCGTGCCCTCTCCGGGCATTTCGGTATCCCCAGCGTTGTCGTGACGTCACTACTAGCGTCTGGCGTTGAGAGCAACAGGGACCCGTTTGTGCGCTCGTGGGCACGTGCGGTTGCCACTCTTCCTCTTCGAAAGGTGAAGTGGAAGAGCACATTCGGCCAAAAGAAGAAGAGGAGTCCACAAACGGATCGTAACAAAGCTTGTAGAGCGAAACTATTGTTTTTGGATAATGAAACGCCTGTAGCTCCTCGGCATCGTTTCGAGGAATAGATCCTTTTCAAAATTAACAAACTAGTGGCCGCTATGCACTTACTGAAAAACATTCTGTTCAAGCGCCGATTGCATACGCTATGACGTGGTGAGTTTAGATCGCGCACGATAGACTGCAGGCCCCGGCACATTCAGCTACAGGACCGCGCCTCCCCTTGAAGCACGATAGACGGCGCCATTACTCGTGCAAATATGCAGCGCACTTGCGCATTACGAAAATAGTCTATAAATAGAGCATAATAGACTAAAATAGACCACGCCTAAATTTGACCTCTGGATGGTCTATGGGCCAGGTAGAGCGTAGCTGCCGAGAAGGTCTGGTTCTCGGTTAATGAGGCTGCAGTAGGGGCTAGTCGGTACGTCTTCGGCGCACCAAACAGGCAGCGCATCAAAACGTAGGGTAATTTTTAAACGATGCTTGTAGAGATACTAAACTTCCGTTTGCTGAAACGTTGCGAACATGACTAGAGACGGCTGACCTTGGGTACACTGTACTCGCGGCTTCAGTAGTGCAGAGCAAGGCTGGTGTACCGCCCCTTTCTCAACGCTTCAAGCTCCATGATAGTTATAGCGCGAGCACAAGACGACGGCACAGAGACAAGAAGGACACGATTCTTGTCTCCGTGTCTTTCGTGTCCTTCTTGTCTCTGTGTCGTCGTTTTGTTCTCGCGCTATAACTATCATAATGCCATACGAACTAGCCCAAGCTGCCACACTTCTAAGCTTCAAGCTCGTCGAGTTTGGTCGCGCTAGTGGCCTCGCCGACTTACCGACTTGCTGAGTCGATGAGGTGTCCGAGCAGAAGAGATGCCTCGCCGAATGGACCGCGCTGGCGCTTGAAGATTGGCTGGCCCAGCACACTGCGCGACATGACACAACCCACTACGGGGTAGGGCCCACCAATCGGACTGCGGTTTGGTAGGAACGAAACAAGACATGTGCCAACTTAGATGTAAGACGGAAAAAAAGGGGCCGTAATACGTTAATGTGTTCATTTGCATCCAGCCGCAGGTATATTTTAGCCCTAGCGTGAAGGAATAGTACGCGGATAAATATTGTTAGTGGGTCTAGTCCATAGTAAAGGAGGAGCGGCGACAACAGCAACAGAGGTAGAAGAAGAAGATTGACGTGCAGTACTGGTAGTTATCGTCCCTATGAGTTTATATGTTCTCTTGGCCAATCCCCCAGAGTGGGTACAAGCCATGGATTAAAGGATACAAACAAACAAACAAACAAGTACTGGCTTGCACTCGCCGTCCAGGTCATTGTAAATAAACCTCGCTTACAATCTCCGTAACAATATATGTCACATCACTCACATGGTACCAACAGCGGGAGTATGACAAGGCATCAAAGTAAGATGAAATCACAAGGATATAAGAATAACCCAGACAGAACAGTCGGTAACGTTTGTTCCAAGCGATTCCGTGAAATGAGCTGTAGGCACCCGGCGATGCAGTTTACGAGTTCTGATGGTAGCGCCAGAACACACAGCCTAGCGAGTAGGCGCAGCAAAACCGAGTCTTCCAATGCCTAGCCTAGCGAGTAGACACAGCAAAACCGACCTTGCATGTGCACATCATTTTTTTTTAGTTGTGAGCAAGGGGGTCACGGCCGATTATGTAAGCGCCCAGGAAGCGTTCTTTGAAAACGTGCTAAAAATGACACTGACGCTTCAGCGTGTCACTGTGTTGAGCGAGCGCTCCATTTTCTTAGTATCCCTGGCGGTCGGTACCAACAATGCAAGGCCCAAAAGAGCTTCGTCGCGCCCTCTGGTCCACTGTCGAGTGCCTATGGTATAGAAAGCACGCTTCGTTGATTTGCTGTAAATGAATGCTTCAAATGTAATTGTATTAGGTACTAAGCTTAAGTTCACTCCATTTGTTGAATGGAGCAACCGCTTGAATTCCTCGTGCAAAAATAAAAAAAATGAAGGACCGTCAAAAAATTATGACATCACCCCTCTGCGCATTCTGTGGAGAAATGGAATCACTAGATCATTATTTCTTGTATTGTCGCCGCTACGATATACTTAGAAAAAGGTTTCTAGTTATGCCATTTGGGAAAATAGGCCTTAGATTGACGGCGGAAACGGCGCTAAGCTTTGGTGCCTCAGTTTTGAGACATTGCCACAGGGATGCTTTCAATGCCGTTTGCGATTATATTCAGGCAACCAAGCGTATCCCTTTGTGATCTTCAATCAAAAAAAATTATTTATTACTCCCCAGGGCAGAGTGAAGTAAACGCAGCTGAGTGGTAATCATAACACCTCAAATCTCAAAATTGCTCAACTTGATTTTTTTTTTTCGTTTGCTCTTTTTATGTTGTTTTTATTTTTACATTAGTCTTATTATAATACCAATTCATTACACATAGTTAAAATGATCACAGAAAAACTGCACAACACTTTCTTGGCCAATCCCCCTGAGTGGGTATGAGCCAACATCCCAGGGAAACAAAACAAAAACAAAACAAATTATGACCGGGAGCTTTCCTCACGTGTCACGTACCCGCTATGGGAAGCGGGGCATTGCTGCCGCGTCGCGGTTGCCAAGGCTACTGAGGGGCCAGTTGCCTCGTCTTTGCGGTGTGTAAGTGAATTCAGGCCACTAAACGTACTTCAACTTAATGAACACTTTATTAATTACCCGAGAAAGAAAGTAATCGGGAAGGAAATTTAAAATGTGATGAAATATATAACACATACATCCCAAATCAATCGGGTTCGGCAAGCTCAGCTGTCTGATTTGGTCCAAAAATCAGATTGTCGTTATCGTAGTAGTGATCATTTTATTTTTTTTTGTTTCTCACCTTCTTGCTCTTCATGTTTGTAATGTTTTATTTCTTTTACAATATTTTTGTTGGTAAGCAATCGTGCATTTACCGTGCATAGGATACTATGTTTTCTTGGCCACTCCCCCGGAATGCGTATGTGCCATGGTATCCAGCCTACAAACAAACAAAAACAAACGAACAAACAAACAAATACCCCCGCAGTATGTATGCGCCACAGTTAATAGGGGAACAAGAAAATAAAAAAAAATTGGCCCGTATCTGCAAGTAATCTGCAAATGTCGTCGAAAGAGGATAGTCTTGTGTGTGGAGAGAGTGAACAAAACATTTATTTGATGTTCTGCGCAAGAAAGTCGGTGAATGGTATTTCGGATGGATGGATGGATGGATGGATATGGCTGTACCCTTTAGATCGGGCGGTGGCTAGCGCCACCAAGCCGTAATATATTGTGAGCGCCCGCATGCGCACTATAGCGTAGCGGCCTATCTAATCGGCAGCGCCACCTGCGGCGCCTTTACTCAGATAAACTCCCAGCCCAAGCGAGGGCCGGGGACACGTTTTATCAATCTCGCTCCCGCCTCCGGCGCGGTCGGCACGTTTTCATGTTCGAATAAAGCGCATTCTTCTCGTTCACAACGCCTCTCAGCCTTCATGCCTAGCCCGCCCAGCCCTCACAACTGGCGCAGTCGACTCCGAACCATGCCTGGAACGTCGCCTTTTGCCCGCCTCGTGAAGTGATCCGCCGGACTAGCCGCGCGGCGCTCCGTCCTGTGTTTACCGTCCGCCGCCCGATACGCCTTTCGGCCGCTTCGTCCGAGTCATTTCGTGCCTTTGCCTTTTGTTTCGCCGACCGTCGTGCTGACGCCCACCCGCCCGATGAAGTAGCTCGCCTGCAGAGCCGAACCAACTTGACCTGCCCGCCTTTTTCGTCTCTCGTGAGTCTTGTGCTCCTTCTGCTAATTTCTTGTGAACGCCATGCCGCTTGTGAACTGGAACGAGGCTACGCCTGAGGACCTCGCCGGCTTTACAGCAGACTTCCTCCGTGAAGAGTTGGTTCGCCGAAACTTGGACGCTACGGGGCCGAAGGAAGAAGTGATCAATCGTCTCCTCGCCGATATAGCCCAAAACCGCTCAATGACGCCTTTGTCGCCTTCCCCAGATTCCTCAGCGTCCAGCCAGCGCCCGAACACTACGCCGCTTCCTTCGAGCTTCGATGCAGCCCAAAGTACCGAGTTGCTGACGGGTTTACTTCAACAGCTCCTTCAAGTGTCACAACGCGCTGCAGCGCCAGTTCAGGTCACGACCCTTCCAGACCTGTCCGCATCGCTTCCTACATTTAATGGAGACGGCAGCATTTCAGCGTCCCACTGGATTGAAGAGTTGGAACGAACTCGAAACCTAGCTTCGTGGGAGCCTTCAACCGTACTCGCCGTCGCTCTGGGAAAGCTCCGTGGAGCAGCCGCGGATTGGAAAGCAGTCATTGGCCGTCAGTGTCCCACCTGGGACGCCTTCAGGCAAGCTTTCTTGGATCAATTCAGCGCCAAGCAAACCTTACTACAGTGGCAACAAGCTGTTACTTGTCGCGTGCAAGCGCACGGAGAGAACCTGGTCCACTATTCTTTGGCGAAGTTGAAGCTCATTTCGGGATGCCCAGTCACTCTTACCGACACTCAGCGCATAGAGTACGCCCTTCAGGGCATTTCCGACGAGAACCTGGCCACTACTATAGCAGCACAACGGCCAGAAACCGTCGCCGCCTATATGGACATCGTAACGCAGCTTGACCAAACATTGAGCCACTTGTCTCGTCGACTCCCACGCCCAGGGTATTCAAGCACCAAACTAGTAATGCCAAGCCCACAGGTGCCCCACCACAGTGAAGAGCGCACGAATGTTCAGGCGGTACCAGACAAAACAAGACAGCCGCAGCGAATCGCAGCCCTACCACCAGACCAACAAGAGGCTCGGTACCTGACCATCTCTACGAGGCACGGCGCTCCTGCCTACCGTTCTGGCCAGAACTTGGCCGAAGCCGTGTGTTTTCAATGCCGCCAAAAAGGACATCTAGCTTCAAAGTGCCCATCCAGAGCTACTGTCACACAGTCTACAACGCATCCTTCGCCAGCTCTTCACAGCACACTTTCCGAGACCCTTGATGGATCGCTGGTCCAATGCGCCCTTGTAAACGCCACAATTGCTGGAAGCGGCCAAGTGGACGCATTTCCAGACAGTGGTTCCAAGGTGACACTTGTTTCTCGTCACCTTGTCAGATCTTTGCCCCTCCTGCCCTGGACCAGACCCCCTCTAGTTGTCGTTGGAGGAACGACAGTGGCTCCTGCTGGTGCTATCTGCTTGAAGATCTCTGTGGGACCCATCACCGGTTTGGTGGAAGCCGCCGTCCTCGATAACAATGCCATGCCACTTATATTGGGGGAAGACTGGTTTGCTGCCAGTCACGCACAGTTGGTGTTCCAGCCACCCATGCCAACTGAAATTCGTCATCCCACCACAGGAACAAGTGTGCGGTGCTATGAGCGACTGTTGCCCAGGATGTCGAACGCTGTTATGATCCAGGGGTCATCTTTCAATTACCATGTATCTGGACACCACAGCTCAGCAGGCCTCCAGCGAATGCCACTCCCAGGCCCAGATGAACCCCCGTGGTTAGCACTATCTTGTCAATATGAGGTTTCAAACACCAACGGCCCGTCTTCTGAATGCAGGCGAGGTGCTTCTTCAACAATAGAGGTTTGCATTGACCCATCCTTGCCTGCCGCTCAGGTTGGTAGCCATTTGCCAGCACACCAACAACGGGAAATCACGAGCATTCTTTCGAAGCACGCTGAAGTATTCGCTCGTGAAGAGGATGACTTAGGTCTGTACGAGGGTGTTGAACACTCAATCGACCTTCTTCCCGATGCTGTGCCATACAGTCGATCCCCTTACCGTTACTCGGCTGCAGACCGTCGTTTTCTTGAGGCTCAAATAAGCACACTCCTTCGGCAAGGCATCATTCTACCAGCCTTAGGACCTTGGGCATTCCCCGCAGTGGTTGTCAGCCGAGGTAGCAAGAAGCGCCTTTGTGTTAACTATGTGCCCCTAAACAAGATGACTGTGAACGTCGTGCAACCACTTCCACATGCGGATGACATCATGGATGACATTGCTGGGTCACAGTACTTCGCCTGCCTTGACCTAAAGTTTGCTTACTGGCAAGTTCGCGTTCGTAAGGAAGCACAAGGGAAACGGAAGACAGCATATGATCAGTCCCATCGAGACCACTCCTTCCAAGTCGGCCAGTTCGTCTGGGTGCGCCGCCAAGAGCCTGTAGCAGATGGAACTGGAAAGTTGGCACCCAAATTCAAGGGAATATACCAAATCACCAACCAGAAAACACCCGTTACGTTTGTCGTTAGCCGCGTAACTGGTCAAGGTCCTCGTGATCGACTCCAAGACAGGATAGTGCACGCCTCTCAACTCAAGCACTACGTGCCACCTTATGTCGAGCCTTACATTGTGAAACCCAAGAGTGGCCTTTGTGTGACTTATCTGGCTCTCCCAGTGTTGGCAATGAGTTATCTCAACCACCAGTTTCCCTTGGCCCTGCAGTTTTGCCTCCAGCGGTACCCTCCTCGCGACCTCACCGCCAAAAGCGCCCACCCGAGCGCTTGAAGGACTATTCTCTCTCGCAGTGAAGCCACCAAGTAGTGCTCCTTTCCTAGACCAATGGGACTTGGTCAGACAAGGAGGGGCCGGATGTGAGCGCCCGCATG